TCCTTGTCCTTTTTTTGTCTTCATATTTAGATGAGGAATATTGTCTTCTAAATTTTGTAAGATTATTATCAGAGTGTTTGACACTATTCTTCCGAATGTATCTATTATATTTCCTTAAAAATAATCCCATTTCTTCATCATCCGAATTTTCTTTATTGCTAGAGTCACTATCATTAGTGAGCTCATCTCTTGAGGACTTTGAGCTAGAAGCCTTGAGAGCTTTAGACTTCAAGAATTATTCCTTAACAATCCCTTTTTCCTTTTTCTTTTTCTCAAGATTCTTTTCATGTTTATCCAAGAAATTGATTTCTTGCTCATGTTCTTCTAACTTTCCAAACAAGGCAGTGAGATTGAGTGTTGCAAGATTGTTGGCTTCCTTGATTGCGGTGATCTTTGGTTTCCAATTCCTAGTGAGACATCTCAACACCTTGTTAGTATCAATAACATTGTAAATAGGATTACCTAGTAAATTTAAACGATTAATAAGATGCGAGAACCACTTTTGTATTTGAGCAATGGTTTCCCCTTGCTTCATGCGAAAGAGTTCAAAATCTTGATTAAGTGTATTAATTCTAGCTTGTTTGACCTCATTAGTTTCCTCATAGGTAACTTGTAGAGCATCCCACATACTCTGATAATGATGGGAAATGCGATAGAACTCATCAACACCAAGAACGTATATAATGATGTTCTTTGCTTTCCAATCGTGTGCCCACTTCTTATTATCATTCTCATCCCATAAGTTTTCCGACTTAGGTACGGTAGCACCATTAACAACATATGTCACCAGCGTTGGACCATTTTGAATGACTTGCCAAACACCTTTTTCATATGAGTGGACATGAATTTTCATACAAGCTTTCCAATAACTATAATTTTCTCCCGTGAAAATTGAGGCTCTTTTAGGTTCGTAAGCCATTTTCTAAAAGTGTTGAAGTTGGAATCAACCGGGCTCTTGATAACACTTGTGATACAAAGACAACATATCTAGAGGGGGGGGTGTGAATAGATACCCCTTTAATAATTTATACAAAAATCTGATTTTGAAAAAGATGTTTTATCAAAGAGCGACACAGAAGCTTTTTCAAAATATCGTCTATACGAACATTATTGGAAACTCAGATATGTAAACCGTAATAACAAATTTAATATGAAATGATAACAAAAAATTGAATTTATAAACTTGAATCACTTAATAACTTATTTAATGTTTATCACACGTTACTATTAAAGCTATTTCCAATGACAATATTTAAAATAACAAGTAGAATCAATTTATCAAACACTTGGTGTGCAAGTAAATTTTCAAAATTTTTCCTTTGATTGTGTTGATACACAAAATCATTTATAATCAAAAGTGATTATAAACTATATCAATACTTGATTTACAATAAAAAAAGTTCGGAAAATTCTTACAATTCAATTGATAACGCAATGCTATTTGACAAATTGATCCATGAAAAACAAAAAAAGTAAAAGAAAAAATAAAAGAGACACAAGGAATTTGTCTTCACAGTTCTCCACTGTCGTCCTCGTGCGTGGTTACGTCTGCGCCTAATTCCAATAGAATTAGGATAATTCTTATTATGCAAAATTGTTGATACAAGAGAAGTGTTTAAGAGCAACTCCACAAACCCTAAGCTTGTTGTTGATTGAACCCCTTCTCCTCTTTTGATCCTGAGAAAGACCGATACATAATAAATGCAAATTGACTATCTGAATATTTCTACTCATTTGCGTTCTTTATATCCAAAGCTTTTACGCATCGTCAATTTCAACTATTGCAACACAAGACTTCAATTGTAATTCGCCATTCTCACGTTACTTCCTTTGCATTCTTTATCTCCAAAGGATCCCTTGCATTCTTTATCTCCAAAGGATCCCTTGCATTCTTTATCTCCAAAGGACTTCACTTGTCCGCAATTACCTCTTGAACATCTTGCACGAAAACCCCAAAATCAACCAATGATATTGGAGAACAAACCCGTGGTTTTTCCTGGATAAAAACCCCTACAAAGCTCAACCCAATACACAATTGGACACTAACAATCCTCGTCTAGATGGAATCCAAACGAAATATCGTTACAATGTAATGTCAGTGTGTATGCATAGGTTAAAGGTTGAAGATGAAGAGAGAAGTAGGCTAATTTTATGGTTTCACCAAGTTATGAATGATGCATGAAAAATTATTTATAGTTTTGGAACTTTTAGGGTAAAAAGGACAAATCCAGAATTAAAAATATTTGGAAAAATTGACCAAACAAACAGGATGTGTTGACCTATATATCGTATGTGTCGACACATACGTAAGTTTTAAACTGTATGTGTTAACCTGTATAAGGCTATGTCTCGACCGAAACAAGTCAGATGCTACAAGCTTTAAAATGATAGTTAACGTGTTGATCTGAAAAATGGGTGTGTCGACACATTAAATAAGAATTTTTGCAATTTCAGAAATGCTTCAGTATATATCGACCTATACAATGCATGTTTCAATCTGAGTCTTCCAGAGGCTACAAGCATTAAAAATAAGTTGTATGTGTCGACCTGAAAAGTGGATGTGTCAAAACATGCAATAAAAAATTATGCAGAAAACTGTTTTTAATGATTTGAATCAATTTCAAAATGATTTTTAATGATTCCTAAGACCTCCAACACATAGGAGTGCCACAATACATAAGAATACCATCCAATATACATAAGTGCAAGCTTTTCAGTTTGGACATCATTTAAAACCTTTAATGACGAAGTTATACTCACAAAATTCTCAAGAGATTTGAGATGGAAGAATGCATCTCGACTTCGATACCCGTTGAACCAAGGTTGCAACCGTCGAAAGACTCAAATGAAGATGATGTTGACCCAACCCAATACAGAAGAATTATTGGGTCATTAAGATACCTTTGTCACACAAGGCCTGATTTAACATACATTATAGGTATGGTGAGTAGATTAATGTAGAAGCCAAAGGTATCACATCTAGCAGTGACAAAAAGGATACTAAGGTATCTCAAAGGAACTCTCGACTATGGAATTTTATTTCCAACTGTCTATAAAGGAAAAGAATGCAAGTTAGTGGGATACACTGACTCAAGTTGGTGTAATGATGCTGAGGATAAAAAATCCACAACGGGTTATGTGTTCGTGCTAGGTGGTGCACCAATTGCTTGGAGTTCAAGAAAAGAACTAGTAGTGGCACTATAATCGTGTGAAGTAGAGTACATAATTGCTTCTCTTTTTGTATGTCAAGTAACATTGATGGTGAATTTGATCGAAGAGATAACAGGGAAGAATTATGGAGCAATTACCATGAAAATCAACATCATGTCAGCTATCAATCTGGCGAAAAACCCGATAGCACATGGTCGAAGCAAGTACATTGAAATGAGGTTTCACTATCTTTAAGAGCAAATATTAGAAGGGAAGATGAACTTGGAACACTCCAAAACTGAAAATCAGATTGCAGACATCATGACAAAGAGAGTGCATGTCGAAGTGTTCAAAAAACTAAGAGTTATGATGAATATAGATAGCTTAGACACAATGAATTAGATGGTGTGTTGAGTTGTAATTCCGTGTGTCGAAGCAGCATGTTACTCGACAAAAGGAAGGTTGTGTCGAAATTGATGTGTGTATATGTCAAGTTTTTTAGCAGTCGAAGTGTCGAAGGAGGTAGCCTCGACATATGATTTCGACATAGACCAAAATATATATTTTAGGCTTTTGTGTTTTGGGTTTTGGCTTAGGAAACAAACTAACTTAAAACTATAAATAGAAGGAGTAACCCATATTATTGTAGACAACTTGTATTCACTGAATTTTAGATTTGCAAATTGAATAAAAATTTTCCACAGTTTTTAGACAGAGAAAAACCTATAGAAAATCATTATTCTCTTCTATATTTTATCAAATAGTAATTTTTTTTCCTCATTGTTATTATGTATTGATAATAATCTTGTTCACTAAAATTGATAAAAATTCTCCATAAATTTTAGTAAATTTTCAACAATAATAATAAAACATCAGTCACGTGACATTTTTTTTGTGCACCCATCGAGAATGATTCAATAATATCTTTTATTTGTATGTTGAAACATTTTTTATTTTGGGCACGACTACCCATAGGCGGTTTCACCGTACGGCCACCCTGGGCAACTGCCCAAGCTCCAATTTTTTTTTTATAAAAAAAAAACAAAAAAAGGCCAAAAAGTGAAAGAAAAAAAAGGGCAAAAACAATTTTTTTTGTTATATATTATGTGAATTTTCGGTCTTTAAATTTTTTGTCCGGGTTTAATTTTCGATCTTTAAATTTTTTTCCAGGCTTAATTTTCGGTCTTTACATTTTTTCCCAGGCTTTATAATCTTACTGTCTCCGCCATTCGATTGACATATCTTGGAATCATTGTTGTTAAATAGCAGTTATAGCTATTGTACTATGATGTAGCGGAGTTTGATCACATCCTTATTGTTTTTTGTTATGCTACTTAGTACAATGTGTTCTCAAATAGTGGCTCTACAACATTGTAGCATACCGGAATTTTAACAAACCACCATTTCTCCGATCTGCATTTGACAACATTATTTGGAATTTGAATTGATAGTGGTGTTTTTAGGCAGTACTTAATTTCTCACAAATGAGCGTGTTGAACTAATTTTCTCGGCTTTTATAGGTTTGTTCATTTTGTGAGCACACCTGAAATACTGTAACATGTATATATTATAGAATCCGAAATTTGAACATGTATATATTATAGAATCCGAAATTTGAACATGTATATATTATAAAATCCGAAATCTTACAAATTGAAGAGGCAATTGCAATTTAAGGAAATAATTTCTTTGGGATTAGCATTGTACTGTCTTGATAGAAAATTATGAAGCCAATGAAAAGTTGCCCAGGCTTCATAATTTTTCTGCGATTACCTCCATGTTAACATGATGCTTCCTAAAATTCAGAGACCAAACATTCATTCACGCGTGCTTCCTGATTGTGTTAGAAAATGAGATTGAGAACCATTATTATATTTACTCTGAAACACTCGAATTCACTTCACACTCATCCCTTTTCAATTCCACAACTCCACAACATCAACAACAACTACCTTAAACTTGTTCGTTCATGCAAACACTTGAACCCTCTCCACCAACTCTATGCCCATTTCCTTGTTTCAGGTCTCTTATTCCAATCCAATTTACCTCAATCAACATACCCATCTCTCATTCTTTGTAATTCATTGATTAGACTCTATTCTACACTTCATCACTTCCACAAAGCTATAAACTTGTATCACACAATGTTACAAATTGGACTTCAACCTGACAAATACACCTTTACCTTTGTTTTGAAGGCTTGTACTGCTGCTTTAGATTTTCATGAGGGTCTTTCTGTTTACCGTCATGTAGCTGCTAAAGGGTTAGAATGTGATGTCTTTATTGGGACTAGTCTTATTAACATGTTTTCTAAAATGGGTCATTTGGATACTGCAAGGAAGGTGTTCGATAAAATGCCGAAGAAAGATGCTGCTTCTTGGAATGTGATGATTTCGGGTTTGTCGCAGAGCTTAAATCCTAGTGAGGCGTTGGAAATGTTTTGGAAGATGCAGATGGAGGAGGGTTTGGAGCCTGATAACGTGAGTATCTTGAACCTGGCTCCGGCTGTTTCTAGATTAGAGGATATTGGTTCTTGTAAGTCTATTCATGGTTATTTGGTTAGGAGAGGCATTTGTGGCATGGTTTCAAATTCATTGATCGATATGTACTCTAAATGTGGCGAGATACATCTGGCTCGTCGTATTTTTGACCGGATGCGGGTTATGGATGACGTCTCGTGGGCGACAATAATGGCGGGATATGTACAACATGGTTGTTACTTTGAGGTTCTTGAATTGTTTGATAATATTAAGCAGAAAAATGTTAAGATGAATAAGGTGACAATTGTAAATGCGCTCTTGGCAGCTGCAGAAATGAGAGACTTAGAGAAAGGGAAGGAAATTCATAACTGTGCTTTGCAGATAGGGATAATGTCAGATATTGTTGTTGCTACTCCTGCAGTGAGCATGTATGCAAAATGTGGAGAGTTGAAGATGGCAAAAGAATTGTTTCTGAGTCTTGAAGGAAGAGATTTGGTTGCTTGGTCTTCTTTTTTATCGGCTCTTGTTCAAGCTGGATACCCTGGAGAGGCATTGTCTATATTTCAAGAGATGCAGCATAAAGGCTTGAAACTTGATAAAGTGATTTTGACGATTCTCGTTTCCACTTGTGCAGAAATTTCAAATCTTAGATTAGGGAAGACTATGCACTGCTATGCTATTAAAGCAGATATGGAGTCCGATATCTCAATAATAACAACCCTTGTCTCCATGTACACTAGATTTGAATTATTTGTACATGCTATGAGGCTGTTCAACAGAGTGCAAAATAAAGATGTTGTGGTGTGGAATGCTTTGATAAGTGGGTTTGTGAAATATGGTGATCCACATCTTGCATTGGAAATGTTCCATAGATTACAATTAAGTGGGATTCAACCAGATAGTGGAACCTTGGTGGGTATGGTTTCAGCTTGTTCCACTATGGATGACCTAGATCTAGGAACATGCTTTCATGGAAATATTAGAAAGCGTGGTTTTGAATCTGACACTCAAGTAAAAGTTGCCCTAATGGACATGTATGCCAAATGCGGGAGCCTTTTCTCAGCTGAATGCTTGTTTCTCTTAACGAAACATGTAAAGGACGAGGTATCTTGGAATGTGATGATTTCAGGGTATCTGCATAACGGATATGCCAATGAAGCGATTTCCACTTTCCAACGGATGAAATTAGAAAACATCAGGCCCAATTTAGTCACATTTGCGACCATCCTTCCTGCTGTATCGTATTTGACAGTATTAAAAGAGGCAATGGCTTTTCATGCCTGCATAATCCGAATGGGATTTCTATCTAGTACCATTCTTGGAAACAGTCTCGTAGATATGTATGCTAAATGCGGTCAACTTAGTTATTCTGAGAAATGTTTTCATGAAATGGAAAACAAAGACACTATCTCATGGAATGCAATGCTTTCAGGATATGCAATGCACGGTAGAGGTGAACTTGCGGTCGCTCTTTTTTCACTAATGCAAGAGACTAATGTTCATGTAGATTCTATTTCGTACATCAGTGTATTATCTGCTTGTAGACACGCTGGTTTAATTCAAGAAGGAAAGAACATTTTTGCCTCAATGTGTGAAAAGCACCATGTTGAATCCAATATGGAACACTATGCCTGCATGGTTGATCTTTTGTGCCGTGCTGGTTTATTTGATGAAGCTCTTAGTTTAATTAATAAAATTCCAACAGAACCTGAAGCTCAAGTTTGGGGCGCCCTCCTAGGAGGGTGTAAAATTCATTCCAATGTTACATTAGGAGAGGTTGCCCTGCATCACCTTGTTAAACTTGAACCGAGAAATGCAACTCATTATGTAGTTTTGTCAGATATTTATGCTCAATGTGGTAAGTGGAATGAGGCCAGAAGGACAAGATCACAAATGAATGCTCATGGCTTGAAGAAAATTCCAGGATATAGTTGGATTGGAGCCCACAGACAAGGTTAATGCCTTTCTTGCTAGTAACGGAGCTCTGCCACTATCAACACGGACGGACTAGCAGAACAAAGGAATTTTTTCCGAATTACAAATTGAAAAGAAGCCTTACAAGAATCACCAAGTTATGTAATAACGTCTACTAGAATTAGAATACATTATTATCATGTGTAACAATTGAAAATCTAGAATGGCTATCCATGTGTGCTATGTAACTTTTGGAGACTCCTCATTTTGCATTGCCTAGTTTGAGCTAACATACAGCAGCTTCAGGAGTTAACAGAAAAGCAGCGAAGATGACACAAAACAGCTCGGGAGTTGATCAAATCTGCTTCCTAGAAAGCTTTTGAGAAATAGGATTGCAAATGCTGCAGAAGTAAGCTGAAGGGAACCGTCGAACTGTCTAATTCTACTGCTACAGCATATGACAAATTTGGGAATGAATAGGTGGTCATGGTCGCAAACTTCCTGAACAGAAAGGCCGGAGAATACTGCCACTTTTTTGCACGATGGTCAGGTTTCACGTCCCATCTATGAGAAGAGATGGAAGGTGCTTGTATTATAATATTTGTCTATTGTTTCTAAAATTTAGATTTTAGAAGGAATAAATTTATGTTTAAAAATTGCTTATTTCAGTTGATTTTAGACAATTTGAAACCGTCAAGAGATTAAAATCACGAGAAATAAAGAGGTTAAGTTCCTAAACTTGTTTTTCATAACTGTGTTTACTGCACTTGTATGAACTTGATGATGTTTGGCACCTGAGCTTTCAAGATACTTGTTTTTTTAGTTCAATTCATGGATTCAACAATCTTTGGCTGTTATTTAATTACCTTCTTCGGTGATAATTGATATTGCTTTTAGTTATTGTTCAGCAGACTAGAAATCAAGACACTTAGGGTTCATAGAATTTGCACTAACTGATTACTGTGTTGTGACTTCTGTCTATTATATTTATTATTAACTCTTACTTCTTTGTGATAATTTTCCTTTGGCTTTTAGGTAGCAAATATTTCAGCCAAAACCATTCACAGTTATTTGTTTAGTGAACACAAGAAATTGGTGGAAAAGATTATGAAATGAGGCAAAAAGGATAGAGGCTGTTAGCATTGATTCTGAATGTCCTGAGAGTTTAAGCATTTCATCTTTCAGTGTACAGTTTTTTTCTTCATATAGTGGTTTAGTGTTCATTGCCTCTCCACAGTTTTGTATGGTTATGTGAACCCAGGTAGATCATTGGATGACTATTTCTGCCTATTTACTTCTACATCATACTTATAACTTAAGTAAGTTTTGGTATTAGTATGTACCAAATTTATATATACCAGTAGAAATATAGACACTAACGTGTTTTTCCGTTTGCTTTTCTATTGCGCTTAGTTGTAAATTAATGTATGTGCATGACTTTGTTATATATACTTAACATTACTCGTATGTTCCAAGACCAAACAATCATTTTAGGTTTTTAATGCGTGAGGCGTTGTCATTAGTCATAAATGTAATAAAATTGAAAGTATTAGTTTTTTTCTTTGTTGGTAATTCTAAGGACTAAATTGATCAAGAGAATACACATTTCTCTCTTCCTCGAGTCTTGTAGAGATCGAACCTTCCCTGTATGGTCGGACAGGACAGAGATCAAATCTAGGATTTCTGATTAAACTGAAAGAGACATCTATCTCATCCAAATGCTCTTGGGTCAAATACATGTGAAAGTTAATAGTAAGGAGTTATGTAAAAGTTAATAGTAGTGGTTTTAATGGAAGTTATTATGTAAATTACACATTAAAGTGAAAATAAAAATGGTAGAAAATAGGTTACACCAAAAACAAACCATTTTCTTTATATGGTAGAAAAAATAATTATTAAATAATTAAAAAAACTGTCAAGTGGAAGTGTAAATAATTTAAAAGTGTAAAGAGTATAATTTGAAGAAAAATAGTCTACACCAAACTAGTAATATTTTGGCTTTATATATTACTAGTGTTCAGACGAGCATTCTATGTAGAAGTTAATACTAGTAGTTTTAATGAAGTTATTATGTAAATTAGAAAAAGTAAGGGTAAAAATGGTAGAAAAATAGACTACACCAAAAACAAAGTATTTTCTTTACATATTGTTATAAATTAAAAAATAGTTGCTCTTTCCACCACTAGCCATCCTTTTAAAATTTAAAATTGTCTTTTTTAAATTCAGAAGCGTAATTTTGTACTCATCTAATTTTGTGATCAGTGATCTGAGTTATGAACATATTTGTGATCCGTGTTCTGAGTTATCCAAAGTGGTGATTGGATACTTTTTAAGTTTCCTCTTATGCCACAAATTGATTGGTGGTTGCTTCATGGTCCTCTTTTTCTACCAGTTGAAAGGAATATTTATTCATCTGTGACAAGAATAGGTTTCTGGGTTGATGGGGAGTGCAGACCTATCATCTTCTTCGTCTGGATTGGTTGCGTCAAATATCTTCAGGATTTTCCTTCCTTTTATCCTGAGGTTGATGTTCTTTGACGCTGAAGTTTGTACTGCAATAGAGCTAATTCAAAATACTAGAAAGAAGACGTCGAACAAAGATGTCCCAACATCTTTACTGAAGACTGACTCCATGTTGTTGTACTGATGTGATCAGTAGTTTATGAGGACTACTGTTGGTGGATGTTTTTGCTGTAATATTGAGTTGTAATTTTTATTATTTGTTTTAGCCAAAAAAATTTAAAGGGGGAGATTGCAAGTTCCTTAGTTTTAAGGATTAACATTAATTTTTGTAAAACAAATATAGCAACAATGTGTTAGATAAGATGTATTTACTTGCTAGCAGGAACAAGTTGAGCAAGAAGTCCTATCTTATGTTAGGACATGTTGAGTTGAAGTGTTTCAACATCTGGAACAACATGTCGGATAAGATGTCCTACGAAGGAGCATACGACATCGCGCCTGAGCTGAAGTGGACAATTAGATTCTGTTATAGTTTAACTGATGCAGAATATTTTGGGAATATTATACAATCCTATGTGGCGCTGATTTTAAGGTCAAGAAGAATCAAAGAAGAATATTGAAGAATATACAATTTCTAAATTTGAAGATAACTTAGGAATATTTGATTAAAGACCTTGATTGTAGAAAAAGTTACTGCTGGTTGTTACAGCTGATATGCTGTATTTTGAAGGTCCAAATCCAGTTGGGTATAGGTTATAAATAGAAGTGTTTGTAACCTAGGAAAGGTACGGGTTCAAGATGTAGAAGTCTATGGCTTTATCTTTTTTCGCTCTCTAGGAGAGTTGGCGTAAGTGAACCACTCTAGTTGTGATATGGTCACTGTGTTCTCACTCAGGAGTTGTAAATTAATGAGTTGAGTATTGTTCTTGGATGAAGCTTTGAAGCAACTCCAAGTTGTGGTCTTAGTCAAGAGTCTTGGCTAGAGATTGTCTTGAAAGTGTGTCTTCCTGTTTGTTTAGAAGTGTGTTGATCCAATCGCTGTTTGTGATTGAAGGGGGATTGAGAAAGGCCTTATATCTAGGTGAATCTTAGATAGAAATCTAGGAAGGATAATGATTAAGTTAATAGGCTGTAAACTAGAGGTTTGTTGTAGGATCTATGAATTGATACTATCATAGTGGATTTGTCCCTGACTTGGTATGCCCTCAATGTAGGAAGGCTGTTATGAACTGGGTTAACAATTATGTTTGTTGTTTATTACTTTTCAGTACTATTCTTATTGTTGATACCTTGCATGTTTGTTTATATCAGATCAGATGTCCCAACATGTCATAGGATATCTGAGTTCTATCATACAAGAATTTCAATTGATATTAGAGAAGGAATTGATAGCACAAAAAGATATAGCATTTTCCGCCCGTTTTACATAGATTAAACTTCCGATTCTTCGTTTATTATGTCACATTTTATCTCTATTTATAGTATTTGCAATATATTTCATGTACTTAGCTTTTGCAAGGCATAAATGAGAAAAGGAAGAAAAACAATGGAGAAATAAAGAAGAAATGGTCATTTAGCAGTATTTTAGAGCATTCTGCACTAGAAGGCGTGCCGCCTGCCACAGGCGCGTCCCGCCCGACACAATTTGAAGAAGTGTGCCCCTCGACAGACTTTACGTTGCGACTGGCACATCTTGAAGATATGTCCCCCACGTCACAGTGCACATGACGCTCGCCACGACCCATACAACTGCTATAGATTTATCTTCATGAAGCGGACGAAACAGACAGTTTTTGACCAGATTTTTCTCCCGGATGAAGAACGAGGATCCAAGGATTCCTCCTATTTTTGTTCTCTCTTGGAATCTATAAAAGGAGGCGGTTATCAACATTGTTCGGGTCCAGACTTTTGCACCAATTTCCATTATCTTCTTCTACGTATTGTAACTGCTATTATTTGCTATTATTTTCTAGTTTCGCAAATTTACTATTTTTTCAGTTTCATAACTTTGAGTACTCTGTTTTCCAGATTCGTAGAATTCTCGTAAGCATAGAAAACCGCACCATTAAAGCAGTATTTCTTCACATTGAAGGGATACTGCAACCTTAGTTTTTTTCATAGCTTCCAGAATTCGTTAGGTCCATTTTATTTAATTCAAGATATTTTGTACAAGTCAATCCTGTCGGCTTGTGGAGGATACACACTGCTCAAATTATCTGCTTCAATATTTAATTTCAGGTTCCTATTTTAAAGTATAATTTATTTGTTCTTACAATGCATGCATTATTAAATTTATGTTTTAATTTTATGTTGTCCTGCAATAAAATCATGTCTGGCTAAATTCCCTGATATCGGTATGTAAATCTTAACCGAAGGGATTCGGTAATAATTGGCATTAATATTTTTACAAAATCACTTTCTGGTTTTAATTTCCAATTTGGATATTTAATTGTTTTTGTACGAAAATAAAATGCAGTCTAAGGTTAAAACCAACAGAGCGGGATTTTGAGATTTTAACTAGATAATGGTTATTAAACATTAATTTTAAAAACAACGAGAGCACTTTAAAATTAATTGGACTC